GCGTGCGTGCCCTATGCAAGATTAGGCAGGCGCGCGTTTAGGACCAATTAGCGCATTGGTCGCTTGTCGCCTAATAAATAGGTCAAGTGGGGAGAGAAAAGAACGACGGAAGAAGCTGTAGATCGCGAGGAAAAACGAGCGACACAGACGTTAGTAAGTCGAGTAGAGACTCAGAAGGTTTTCGGAGTGGACCGGAGTTAAACGGTGGACGGCCAGCGGTGACAGGAGTTCAGCCGAGGATAGAGGGCCGAGAGGAAGCCGGCAGGAGTTGCCCAGCGACGACCTGCAACACCGTGCGCAGGGCGCAGCCAGGACTCCCGCTCCAGCATCCAAGGTCTAGTTTACAATTTAATCTCTCTCTCTCTCTTCATCGACGGTACTGTGCACGAATTTTAATATTAGGTGGGTAGCAATGCGTGCACACGCCGGCTACCTGCCCTAATGACGGTAGGGTAATAAATCGCGCAAAGAGAAATCGTCCAGGCGATCCCTCGCCGGGCGACTTTTTCTTTTAGCTAAATAGCTTAAGTCGGTTCGTCGTCAAGGCGGTCATCTGCCGGGCGACGCGCGTTATGTTTTCTATAGATTTGTAGGCGCGAAAAGTTAGTTAATTTGTTCTTTTTTGTAATAGTTGTTAAGGACGTCGTTGTGTTTATTCGATTAAAGTGTGTGTAATGCGGCTTATCACTATGCGGTTTGTTAATGTGCGGTATTTACGAAGTTTAAGTGTAATTTAACTTTTGTTTGATTTAATTATATTTGTTTAAATGCGAATGTGTTTGTGTGTATAAAGTTATTAACCATTTCCATTGATTTGCCTCTTCCCCCTTCCCGCCTCAATATTGCTATAAGCGAGTGCGCTTCACTTGCCCACCTTAAATAATAGTTAACGAACGAGCTTTCATTACAAACTAACTTATTTATAAATATAGTTAATTAGGGTTTTTTTTTTGTTGAACTAAATATCGGTAATTCTAATGACTGTCGTAATTTTCATGCAACACGCTTCACAATTTGATGTAATATTATTAATTTTGAATTAACAGGCTCAACGAGTATTTAGCTATCAGAAAACAGAGACGAGAAAAATTATTTTGAGTATTTATAAATAAATATAAATATACGCTAAATGTCTATCTTCGTTGGTGATATGTGCCGTTAATTTCAATTCATTTACAAAATTTACATGATTAGTCTTTTTATAAAGCTTGATTTAAGACTATAGTGATATTTAATTGCATAAGCAGGCAAGCATTTTATTTGAACTATAGTTTGAAAAACAGTAAACGTTCATGTTTAAATTTGAAAGACTTTTGAAATGAAAACTATGATTCAGTTGTCAAACGCAGTAGTTTTAATAATTATTAAAAATTTATAAATTCTTAAAATAACTTCTCTCATCTCTGTTTTCTTATAGTTAAGGTGGCTTGGGCGATTTTTACTGAAATGATAGAATATTCTGAAATTCGGAAATTGCTTGTATAAATTATGTCTGATTATTTTGCAATTAAGAAATACTATGGTTGACGAACTTGTTTTCCAGAAAATCGCTTCCAAAAAATTGCCAATTTAACACTATAACAAGTGAAAAATTCCTCATTATATTCTCTCTCTCTCTCAAGTACCATTGTTTAAAATATATATATTTATTTGTAGTATCTATTTTGTATTTGCCCGTTGTTTAGCAGCAGCGAAAACGCAAGGGGAATACGGTAAGGGAGAGAGAGAGAGATGTGACATAGGAACGGGAGAGAGAGAGGTAAGAGTCGAGAGGGGGCGCGAGAGGTGTACCGCGAGCGGTGATTTTAGGCAGAGACCAGAGAGGCTACGGTTCGAACGGCACGGGCACGTTGATTCGAACTCCAGAGAGTTTTGGTGGTATTTCCGTACTGTATTTTTTGAGGATTGAATATATAGCAGACCTTCCCGGTGTGTGGGTGAGCGACAGGACTATCCCACAATCAAAGACTGGCAGTGTCGGTGGTCTAAAATAACTAAAAAGACTGTGTGAGTGTGCGTGCGAGCTGGCATCGTTGCCGCCCGCCCTCATTGTTTGATAACCGACTCCTGCGGAGATCGCATCACTGGGCGATCCTGACTTTAAGCAGCTTCCTGGACTCGAGCGTGTCTAAAAACGACAATTGTAAGTGCCGCTCGATTTTAACTCTCTCCCTGACTACGTTTTTGCTCTCTCTTACACACTGCGCTTTTCTACCTTGTGTATTATCTTTGACTATCTTTTTATTACACGCTTTGTTCATATACTTATATCTCTGTTCGTTCTTTGAAGCCTGACTCTCTATCCATTTCCTCAATAATTTAAGTTAATGCTTGTTCGCGTTCGGATAAATTCGCGTCTCACAAGAAGCCTGTATTCACGACGCCTCCGCGGGCCCTAGGCAAATCGGCCTTATAAGCGGCATACTGCGCTACCGGATCGGGTTTGGCAAGACATCAGCGAAATCTGCACATCAAATTTGATTTCCGGCAATTTTAGGTGAGATCATGTTCATTCCTTCGAAGAACACACTTTTATATCAACGGGGACAGCCAAGATGGGCGAAAACCCCGTTATAACACGTAACCTTATAGGAAACGTCATAAAATCGATAATATCTTTGGAAGCAAATGATCAACCTCAAATTAAAATGATATCTGTGTATTTTTTATAAGATATTTTTTGAACTTTTAAAAAGGTAGGGTTGACGATTGCATTTTAAAGGAAATGGAACGGAAAGTATGGAAATTAATCTTTCTCCTTGATACTTCCGTAAGATCGCATGCGTCATAAATTTGGCAACAGCGCATCAATATAATAGCGTGAAATTCAAATGAGTTGACATAAGTAGTATACTAATAAGGGAACCATCCCAACCCGACCTCACCGATTTAAATGATTTTGGGATATGTTGTAAAAATATATGTTCTTGAAAAAAACTAGATACGTGTTTTTTTATCGGCCCATAAGGGCTTATAAGGGGTGAAATCCACCCTGAAAATCAACCCCTAAAAACAGTTTTTTTAATATTTCTTAGAATCAAATGAATATTTTTCAGTAAACTCAACGTTAAAAAATTTCTTATAAAAATGCGCTTTTAAGGACATAACATTTATAACGAAGGGTTGCAACCCCCTTTTTAATAGGAGTAAATATACTATTTTTTGTACTGTTTTACGACATGTAATATAGTAAATCAGCTTGGGTGATTTAAAAATCGCACTGATAATGGGAAAATAACAAAATTAAATTGACGTGTTTCCGGATTTAAAAAAAAAATATGTTTAAGGGGTGTTTCACCCCCTAGCAACTACCTCCGTCAAACTATCAGCAGGTTAATCCACCTAACCCTGGGATAAACAAGTTTAGTCGTTTGTTATTTCTTGAAATAATTTAATCCTATGCATGAGCGAGCTACCTCAACTAACCAACCTGCCTCTAACTCACCAAAGCCCCATAAACCACCCTTACCGAACCACATGCAGGCTAACCCACCTAATCCTGTGAAAAGCAACTTTAGTCGTTTGTTATTTCTTGAAATAATTGAATTTTACACCATAAACGAGTTATCCCAGCTGTATAACATACCTCTTATCCACCTACCCCTAACCTATCTAACCCCCACCCTTATAAACCACCCTTACTGAAACACAAGCAGGCTAAACCTCCTAACCCTGGGAAACACGAGTTAAGTCGTTTGTTATTTCCTGAAATAATTTAATCCTACACCTGAGCGAGCTACTTTAACTAACTAACCTGCCTCTAACCCATCAAACCCCCATAAACCACCCTTACCCAACCAAATGTAAGCTAATAGAACTAACTTTGGGAGAATTGAGTTTATCAGTTGCTTTTTCTTAAAATAATTGATTTCTACACCGTACGTGGGGTATCTCATTTTTTTTTGATAAAATATATCTGTAGCTCAAACATAAATTATAATAAATAAAAATATGTTTAATATATTTTATTTTAATAGTACCAAAATGGCGAGAAATATCTCTTAAAAATAAACACGAGAATAACACGAGGTCTAATTATCATTTATACATCTATACATATATATTTATATTCGTATGTAGATACATAAATATATTTAAGTAAGAGCCATCGTACGCGATACTACATACGAGTATATATTGATTTTTCATAATAATTTTCATCTTTTTCTTTTTTTTATTCATTGGTAAATTAAAATGTATCATTCAACGAATTCCTTACAGAAATGATAATCATCGAAAAAGTGTTTGAAACATAATGATCTTTTACACCAACCACACCGTATTATACCAACATTTTTACATGCTTCTACTTCGCAATGTATAGCAATAATCTCCAAAACTAAAATCAACAGGGTTATCTGTTTTAGCTGGTTTTTCAGCAATGTAGCCGCTTTTATACGAAGCGTTGGATCGGAAGGTAATGAAAATAAAGCTCAGGGTCAATTGAGAGCTTACTTTAATAATTAAATAAAAGAAGTAATGTCGTTTTGTAGTCGACGAAGAGTAAAAGAGAACTGACGTAGTTTCGGCTTTTTTCATAAACTAAAACAACAAAAAAAAAACAAAAGAGGAACAGTGCGCGGACAGAGGCGAAGCGCGTTCAGCAGGAAAAAAGCGTAGAGAGCGCCCTCCTTTCCTTAGCCAAATTTAATGAAGTGTTCTCCATCGTCATTTCCGCCAAACATCCCGCCCGCCTCATTCCGTGAATGACTCTAAAAAGAATCGCTTCCTTTGCTGAGCTGGCCTTCTGTATTCGGAATGGGCAGTCTGGCGATCTTGACGACGGGTCGGACGTACTCTCCTGAAGCTGTGGTGATGGTGGCGGTACGAACCGTACCGTCTGGCCCCGGGTGTACAGCAGTGATCCTACCAAGTGGCCAGCGGCCATCTGGACGAAGTAATGAGGGATCTGCGATAACGACAAAATCCCCGACCTGTAGATTAGGCTGAGGCTTCCTCCACTTGGGCCGCTGGATGAGGGTATTTAAATACTTTCGGCTTCAGCGGGACCAGAAATGTCCTCTCATGGCTTGAATGAGCGCCCAGTGACTGACTTGATCCAATTTTCCGTTGACAGAGATAGGCTCGGGATAAGACGTGGCAGAAGTCCCGATTAAAAAATGACTGGGTGTGAGTGCGTCAAGGTCACCTAGATCGCCTGATGGTGGAACAAGAGGACGGCTGTTGAGAGTGGCTTCAACTGCTACGAGGAGCGTGGCGAACTCTTCGTAGGTGAGACGTCGAGGTGAAGCAACTCGCTGGAGGTGCCGCTTCATCGACTTCACCCCCGCCTCCCAAAGCCCACCGAAATAGGGGGCTGAAGGGGGAATGAAGAGCCAGTTGATACCTTCCTTTGCCAGTGTTCCTTCGACAACTCCCCAATCAATCTCGTCTTCTCTGCGGAGTCTGCGGAGCTCAAGGGCGGCCCCGCGGAAATTGGTGCCATTGTCGCTCCAGATTTCAGCCGGCCGACCTCTCCGACCTATAAATCTCTGCAGGGCACCAATAAAACTGGCTATGGTGAGGTCTCCGACGAGCTCAAGGTGGATGGCCTTAGTGCAGACGCAGACGAAGAGCGCGACGTAGCCTTTTACTGTGGACGCGCCTCGTCCCTTGTTGCGACAAAGATGAAAGGGCCCGGCGTAGTCAACTCCACAAGTTGAGAATGGTCTGGCTGGCGACACTCGGGCCGGCGGGAGAGAAGCCATGCGAGGGGGCGAGATCCTCGCCGCAAGGCGAGCGCAAACAGTGCAGTGGCGGAGGTATCGCTTGATTCTCACCTTCGCCCCGGTAATCCATGCCTTTTGCAGGGCTCGAGCGTAGGTGGCCCTGAAACCGCCGTGAAGACTGCGTTCGTGTGCCCACCGGATGACTAACTGGGCGAGGTGCGCTGGTCCTGGAAGAAGGATTGGGTGCCGCTCGTCGTACGGCAATGAGGAGCGGTCAAGTCGGCCGCCTACTCGAATTACTCCATCGTTGTCAAGGAATGGCTCGAGAGTTTTCGTCTGACTGCAGCTCTTCAGTTGGTAGCCTCGGCTCAGCTGAGCGAGCTCCTCGGAGAAGACGTGACGTTGAGTAATCCTGGCGCAAGCGATGAAAGCCTGGCGGAACTCGGCTGCTGTGATCGGTGACATTGGTAATGCAGTCTCTCGCCGTCTCAGAAGTCGAATGATACGCGTGGTAGCTCGTAATAGGCCGTCGAGCGTGGAGAATCGATCGATATGACTCTTCTCAGAATGCAGTGGCTCGTCCTCAATCTGCACCGTTGCACAAGACACGTGACTGCCATGCTGGCACTCCAGGCGGTCGGTGTCGTTGACCTCGAGTGGCCACTCGCTTGCTGGTTGTGTCAACCAGTCTGGGCCATGCCACCAGATTGGGTGCAGTGCGAGTTTAGTGGAGTCTGTGCCGCGCGATGCGACGTCGGCTGGGTTGCAGCTAGTGGGGACGTGATGAAACGTGACGCCCGTGGAAATCTCCTGCACGTGAGACACATAATTGTCGATGATGTCATGTCCCACGGGCTCGTCCGACCGGAGTCAATGAAGAGCAACTTGCGAGTCACTCCAGAGATGGCAGCTCATTGGCGGCACTGACAGTGCGCTGGCGGCGTTCTTCAGCAGCATCGCAGCGATCAAGGTGGCGCGAAGCTCGAGTCTCGGAATGGTCATCCGCGCTCGTCTCTCTGTGGTAGGGAGCAGACTCTTGACTGGAGCCAGCTTTGACTTTGCTTCTAGGATGGTGGTAGTGATTTTGTCATCACTGTGGGTGGCTCTGACGTAAACGACAGCAGCAATAGCACGTCTGTTGGCGTCTGCGAAGGCGTGCAACTGCATATCTTGTCCGGGAATACTACCAAACCAGCGGTCAATGGTGAATTCTGCAGCCTCTCGGATACTGTCGCGAAATGTCAGCCATCTATTTAGCCAGCTGGCCGGGAGTTTCTCGTCACAATCGAATTTCGCTCTCCAAAGATCTTGTATTATGATCTTGGCCACGAGAGTCAGCGGGGTCAACCAACCTGCTGGGTCAAAAAAGGCAGCGAGCTCTGCCAGAGCAGTTCTCTTGGTAAGACTTGGAGGCGGATCAACGACTCCAGGGCGAAACTTGAAACGATCCGTCACTGGATCCCAAATGACGCCTAATTCGCACACTGGTCCATCGGTAGAGAGTTGAACCCAGTCTGCCCGTAAACGGTCCTCAGCGGGTATGTCTTCAAGCAGTCCAGGCTCGTTGGCCTCCCACTTGCGTAGATGAAAGCCGCCCGCCCTAAGCAGGCCGATAAGCTGATCTCTAAGGCTCCTTGCTGTCTCGAGGTCATGGCTACCACTCAAAAAATCATCCATGTAAAGGTCTCTCTTAAGTAATTCGCGGGCCAGTGGAAACCGATGTCCTTCGTCCTCGCCGAGTTGCTGCAGGGTGCGAAGTGCGAGATAGGGGGGCGCAAGCCGTGCCGTAGGTGACAGTCCTGAGAACGAAACGTTTAGCTGGCAAGTCGGATGATGGGCTCCAGACGATACGCTGAAGATGACAGTCTCTCTCATCCATTAAGATCTGTCGAAACATTTTTTGAACATCTGCACAAAAAACATATCGGTGTCTTCGCCAGCGTGTGATGATCGTCGCTATATGTCCTTGTAACTTTGGGCCTGAATGGAGTGAGTCATTGAGACTGAGACCTGTAGAGGTGTCGCGAGAGGCATTAAAAACTACTCTTAGTTTGTTTTCTCCGTCGCTGCGCTGCCAGATGCCGTGGTGTGGGATGTAGAATACTGTCCCTGAGTCCTCTCGAATTTCCTCGGCGGTCAGTGCTCTCATATGACCTAACTGCTCATACTCCTCCATGAACTGGCAGTAACTGTCGCGTAAAACGGGGTCAGAGCGCATTCGTCGCTGCATAGGAACGAGAGCTGAGTGCGCGTGGGGTAGACTGCTTCCTAGGAGGGCCTTCTTCTCCGACTTCAGAGGGAGTCTCACAGTGTATCGTCCGTCAGATGTTCGTCGGACTCCTTGAGTGAAAAGTGCCTCACATTCACGGTCGGCAGCTGAGATTCGTCGGACCGACGGAACTTCCTCGAGAGCCCAAAAATGTTGCACTAGTGCTAGAAGCTTCTCGTGACTTCCTTCGTCGCACACATGTACTGCGGTGGCGAGAGCTCGGGTGGTGTGACTCGTTGATGACTCTAAAATCGCAGTAGATCCTGTCAAGATCCAGCCGAATGTCGTATTCTGGGCCAACAAGGAACCAATTCTCCGAGTGCCCGCTAGAATGACACGATGGTAAACGTCCGCTCCGATAACGATGTCGATCCTCCCGGGCTGATCAAAGGTAGGATCAGCTAGTAGTAGTCGGCGACGGAGGTTGGACACCTCAGAACCGGGAATCCCTGACGGCGTAACAATGCCGATTGTCCGAAGGACAACGGCCTCCGCCCGGATGGGTGAACGTCGGCCGACGTCTGCGATATAAATTACTGCTTGAAATTTGGCTGAGTCCATGGCAGGCCCAGTCACTCCGGTCACTCCCACGTTAGTACGGCGTAGTTGGCAGCCCAGTCTGCGAGCGAAGTCGAGGCTTATGATGGTCGCTTCCGAGCATGGGTCAAGCAGTGCCCTTGCCGTATCCTTACAGTCTTCGCCACTGCTTAAAGAGACGATGGCCGTGGGGAGTACGACTAGTCATGCTGTCCCGTCCTCTCCAGTTGATTTTGCACTGGTCGTAGCAGCCTGGAGTGTTGCTGGTCGAACATTACGAGGTGAGGTTGGTTGTGACTCCTCGTTTGTCTGGCGTTGTACTTTTCCAGCGCCCTCGTGGATTAAAGTATGGTGGTCACCGGCGCAACTCCGACAAGTATTGTTGGAAGGGCAGTTTCTGGCAGTGTGACTACTACCAAGGCAGTTGTCTCCTTGCAAGCTGGGCACCCTCCTAGTGCGAACTGTACCCACGCTAGTGCGAACTGTACCCGTGGCATGGGTTCGTATAGTCCTTGGAACTATGGGTTGAGCCGTTTTCCTTCGGCCGCTCATGTAGTCGATTGAGGGGGCGGTGGCCACCTGACCGAGAGCGCGCAGAGTGCAGTATCGTCGCTGCAGGAACTCCGTGAATTGGCGAAACGAAGCCTCTCCGGTCATCGATGAGGTGTCGAACGGCATGCTGGGCTCAGGCTCTTCCTCCCAAGCTCCCTTCGTGACCGGGTCAAGGGCGCGCACACTCATGAAGACAAACCAGACATCCCACGTTTGGACAGGTTGACTCAGTCGTTCGAGTTGAGTGCGGCATCTATTCAATTCGTCCATGAGGGTCTGTAGTCCCTCGGGTGTTTCTTCTATGAGGGGCCTCAGATTCACAAGCGCGGCTAAGTGGTCCCTCACTCGTAACTTCGGCTGATCGTAGCGTCGGCAGAGTGCTTCCCACGCCTGCTTGTAGTTGATTGCGATGGAACGAAAACTTCGCAGTGCCTCCTCGGCTGCCCCCTTGACATTCGTTTTGAGGTAATTTATCTTCGTCGCCTCTCCTAGTGTAGCGTTGTCGTGGACCAGGTCAACGAAAAGATCTCGAAAGGCTTCCCAGTCTTCTGGCTTTCCGCTGAAAGTGGGCAGTTCCAGGCGAGGCAGCTTCGAAAGAGGAAAATCCGTGCCGTGGTCTGCCGCGGTGATGAATGCGCCTGGTGTTGACGTGCGGTCCTCGGATATCGTGCAGCGAACTTGATGATCCAGCAAGACGCCGCGGCTTTCCACGTAAAGCTCTTCTGCCGATGCAAAGGTGTCGCTCAACCGATAGTCTACGGCTGACACATCGCCGAGGGTGAGAAGTTGTCCATGATTGCGGTGGAGGTCTCGCCAATAACCGTCCAGGAGCTCAAGTCTTGACTCGATGGATCCGAGTGTCCAATTTGTCGTGGGCGTGCTAGCAACCTTTTCCGCAGTCCGCTGGATGGCCCTCTTCAACTCTTGTTGGATGTCTGCAAGCTCCATCTGCCGAGATGCGATTAAAATTCAGTGTGGGAGCCGTGGTTGGGTCAATTCACTAGGTCAGCCAGCTGAAACTTGATACCGACCTTTCGGCTCAAGCTGCCAGAGCGCTAAGCCGAGCGAATTCAACCCTGAGTTTTAGGTCGATTAAATGTGGTCGACAAAGAAAGCTCGGTTCGGCGGTCCGACGGCTTGTCGCGCACTTAACGACCTGCCTGCAAAATAATTCAGCCGCTCGCGGCGCCTCGCCGTTCGCGGAGCCTCGTCATTTGCATAGTATTGCTTGCTCTGTCGTGCCGACCGTCGCTGCAGGAGGTTCTGCGAGCCAGTGAAAGCGAGAGGTTCCCCTTGGCCCAGCACCTCTTCATTGGACTGGAAGCGACCTGTGAGATAGGAGGCACAAATGGTCCTATCGTTGTGGCGGGTGGAGTGTGATGAGCTGTTCTGCTACACTGCCCGCTTATCACCAGACAGGTCCTGGTGCAGTGCGACTTGCTGAGCGTCCGAGTATTCGTCTGCAGCGATCGCATGCTGTGACGCCCGCCGATCGGAGATGATGCTATCATCGGCGGTGGCCGCCCGCCGTCGACGCCCGTCATTTACAATGAAGCTGAGCTCTCACGAATCCCAGCGATCGTTCGAGGCTGCAGCCTAAACACCAGCTTCCGCGGCCGACCCAGTCCCGTTCACCCTTTATCCGTCAAGGAGTCGCGCCCGCATCGCACATAACCCGTCCGTCATAATTCGCACCACCTTCAACTCACCCTGAATTCGTCTTCTTTCCGCTGGCAAATCCGGCTCGAAGGACCAAATGGATCGGAAGGTAATGAAAATAAAGCTCAGGGTCAATTGAGAGTTTACTTTAATAATTAAATAAAAGAAGTAATGTCGTTTTGTAGTCGACGAAGAGTAAAAGAGAACTGACGTAGTTTCGGCTTTTTTCATAAACTAAAACAACAAAAAAAAACAAAAGAGGAACAGTGCGCGGACAGAGGCGAAGCGCGTTCAGCAGGAAAAAAGCGTAGAGAGCGCCCTCCTTTCCTTAGCCAAATTTAATGAAGTGTTCTCCATCGTCATTTCCGCCAAACAAGCGTATTTAAAAAAATTTGTATATCTTGGTGAAGAAAGCTGGTTATGGACAAGAGACTGCATTTTTATGATGTTATTTCTTAAATGTAGATTCATTTCATAGTCCATCAAAATTACTTGATCTGATAAACGTCGAACGAAGTTTTCCCAGATACGAAATCCATAAACATCGAGTGGTTGGATGTTCCCTGTCGTTCCTGTCGGAATTTTTTTTATATTAACAATTTTGTTTGTCGGCATCGTTTCCCTTACAGCTTTATCGCAATGTCCACTCCAAGAGTCGAGTAAAAGTACAGATTGAGGTCCAACATTTGGGTAAAAAACTTCTTTCAACCAAATTTTAAAATGATCTAAAATTAAAAAATGTCAAAATTAAAAAATGTCATTGCATTATAATAAACAAAAATATACTAACTTGTCGTTAATTTTTCAGATTTAGATGCTTCTACATGCACATTTTCTGGTCTAAATAATGAAGATTCCACTATGGGACCGAATTGACCACTTTTTTCTTTTAATACTATAAAAAGTGATCATAAAAGTTTCCCGGTTGCTGATATAGTTGACTGAATTGTATAACTGTGCGTTGTCGATGAAACCGACTGTACCAGACATTGCACCTGCCTTTCTCCTTCAACTGCTAATGTTCTTCCCGAGTGCATTTCTAATTGGAAACCACTCTGATTTGAATTATAAAAGTTTGCAATGCTGATTTCTGGTATACATGATTTAACATCAGCTACAAAAGCATCAGCATTAGTTTGTAGTTCTTCTTTACTTTCTAATGTTTTTTTGGTGATAAATTTATTTATTTTTCTAGATACTATTCTATGAGCTTTTTTAAATTTTAGTAACCAATTTTGAGAAACCTTATCTTATATCTTCATGGCCAACAATTTTTTGAGCTTGCAATGCCCATTTCCGTATATCTCGATCGTGCACTATCGTACCAGCTGCAATGGCGGCTTTTAAATTATCAAACGTGTATTGGCAAATTTGCGCAATTTTTTCTCGGTAAGTTCCATTTTTATTAATTATTTTCGCCCAACGTTTAAGTTGACTTATAGAAGAAACTTTTTTGAATCTATGTTGTACAATATCCAGTTTTAAGTTTTCGTTTTTTCCGCTCCTCCAAAATTCTACGGCTCTTTGTTTATAATCAAATGAGATTTCTTCATCATCATTTGTGCACTGATTTGTTGGTGCAAAATCAGGATCAGGAAAGTGATGTTGAACTTCATCTTCGATTATTTTAGCATCAGTATCTTTGTAATCTTCATGAAAATCTAACGTCTCTTTAACAATTATATCAATATCATTAAACTCATACACGGCATCTATTAATATTTCTTTCAACTTCTCTGACAATTTAATTTCTCTGAAATTAATCTCGCTATTTGGTATTTGTAAACTTTGAAAATATGGTAATAATAAATTGACTACGTTCAAAGGGTTGATCTTCATGTTTTAATCTAAAACAAAATCAAGATATAAATACTCTTTTTTGCAGTTGAATAATTTTATAAAAGAGAAAAGAAAACTTAGTCTATAGATAGAATTCGATCATACGTTTTTAAAAGTTATATTTCACACGTTTACAAATCAAAATATTTGAATAAAATTATATATGATAAGTGACATAAATACTTACGTAGTAGACAAAAACTTTTCTTCTTGTTATGTACTATATTTTCGTGTTCTGAAAATTTGTATGTAAATATAGAAATAAGTTTATTTATAAATCCAGCGCTATAAAAAAACTTTAACTTTTTAAATACTTGACTTTTCTTCAACTACTATAAATAATGAAATATGTATCGAATGTCTTATTATCGTAAGGGGCGTAGATGTGATATAACTTATCTTCTTCGAGCCATTGATAAGACAAAATTGTAAATAAGATAAAGTATACAGCAAAGTAAAGTACAAACAAAGAGTAAACTAAACCACAAGTGAAAATTGAAAAAAGTAAACAGTTTATAAGTATAGGAACTGAGACTATAATAACTATTTATAAATATTAATATAATCAATTATTTGTTATAATTTCTTTTCTCATTGACAAATTGTAAATGATTAAAAAAGAAAAAATATCTATATTAAACTTCCACTTTTGAAATTAATAATTTTTAACTGTTATTACTTGTTATTTTTCTTTATTTCGAATTAACTTTACATTTAAAAAATAACTATTATTATTACTCTTTTATACACAGGTGTATGTAATATAATGCAAATAATATTTTTTTAAAAATTGATACTATAACTCTTATTATTAATTTCGAAAAAACAAAATATTTAATAATTATTTATAATTTATTTTAGTCTCAAATCTTATATTTATAAACCGTTATTAATTATTTTTATCTTTTTTCTATTTATAATAAAAAGAAAATAATAATTATTACATAAATTTGTAATACTTGGGACATATTGTTATGCAACATGAATGTTATTCATGAAATACATTTATTTTTCGCTATTTATATAAGGTTAGCCCACATGTGGTTCGGTAAGGGTGGTTTATAAAGTGGGGGTTAGATAGGTTAATGGTAGGTGGATAAGAGGTATGTGATTCAGCTGGGATAACTCGCTTATGGTGTAAAATTCAATTATTTCAAGAAATAACAAACGACTAAAGTTGCTATTCCCAGGATTAGGTGGGTTAGCCTGCATGTGGTTCAGTAAGGGTGGTTTATGGGGCTTTGGTGGGTTAGAGGCAGGTTGGTTAGTTGAGGTAGCTCGCTCATGTATAGGATGAAATTATTTCAAGAAATAACAAACGACTAAACTTGTTTATCCCAGGGTTAGGTGGATTAACGTGCTGATAGTTTGACGGGGGTGGTTTCTAGGGGGTGAAACACCCCTTAAACATATTTTTTTTAAATCCGGAAACACGTCAATTTAATTTTGGTATTTTCTCATTATCAATGCGATTTTTAAATCACTCGAGCTGATTTACTATATTACATATCGTAAACAGTACAAAAAATAGTGTATTTACCCCTATTAAAAAGGGGTTGCAACCCTTCGGTAGAAATGTTGTCCTTAAAAGCGCCTTTTTATAAGAAATTTTTTAACGTTGAGATTACTGAAAAAGATTCATTTGATGCTGAGAAATATTAAAAAAAATGATTTTAGGGGTTGATTTTCAGGGTGGATTTCACCCCTTAAAAGCCCTTATGGGCCTGTAACGTCGGGCCGTGTACCATCAATAAAATTAATATTTTTTTCTCGTGTGCTTTTGCGTGTTCAATACGTAACTTAAATTTTAACTCCGTGAATGAGCAAAGGGAGAGCATTCAGCTGAAGCGGCTGGAGGACACGTGAAAATACCCGTCCCTTTGTCGCGCGCTTTCTGAATTTTACTCCGAAAGATCGTAAAGTTTTTTTTGAGTAGGTTTCGATATATATAGAGTAAAGAAGCCGATGAATTCTGCCTACATCCTGCCACGATTTCACCCAAAAGTTTTCCACTTTTAGAAGCTAAAACTTTTTCTATATAGAAAAAATTTAATAATTATTTTCGTACAAATGAATTAAGAAAATAACAGCATGATAGGAAAATTTGGCAGCTTCTTGAAACCTCCCGCACACTTTTTGATTAGAAACGTAGTTACCGCACAATCATCGAAAATATCCCAAAGAATTGAAACTATAAGTTAGGAAATTGGATAAATAATCGAAAACAGTTACCTGAATGAACTTTAGTAAATCAATTATATAGTCCGCAATTAAATAATGCCCCTTTTTCATTCCATATATTTAAACAACGAATTAAGTTAATTATTTAAGTTGTAAACATGTAGGATTAGAGATTTTCGCGTAAAATATGTTAGATATTAAGAAACTTGCGTTATTATTAAGAATTAATTGTAACAATTTACATAACAAAAAAATTAATAATTATAAGA